TTTGTCATTAGCTAAATGACAAATAATTACCCCACTCAAAATTCAATCAAAGAAAATTGTGATTCTCCTCAATCCAAAATGGCCGAACAAATCATTGTGATTGTGAGAAGGATTTTCAAAATTCTTCTCCACTCAAATGTTCAAAGTGTATTTTATTTGACACCAAAAATTAATATAAAATTAATTTTAAATCAAATAAAAATACCAATATCATTTTTAAACAAGTATACAAATATACTTTAAATAGTTTATGTCAAAATAATTATTTTCATAATTAAAATGACAAATCAAAATAAAATATTCAACATATAATATATATATATATTAATCGGCACATATATATAATATATATAACCGAATATTTATATATATATTATTATATTCCAAAATATTTTATTTTACTATTTTTTACAAATATACAAATTACTTATTATCCCATTGTTTAATCCTACTCCTTAAATTGTCCAAAGTGTGTGACCCGTATAGGCACTTATAAAGCTGGCCACAGTATTGGCTCTGCACTTATAACCGAATATTTATATATATATTATTATATTCCAAAATATTTTATTTTACTATTTTTTACAAATATACAAATTACTTATTATCCCATTGTTTAATCCTACTCCTTAAATTGTCCAAAGTGTGTGACCCGTATAGGCACTTATAAAGCTGGCCACAGTATTGGCTCTGCACCAAAAATTATGTTACAATATAATTTTATCAATCATAAAATGATGTTTTATGTCCAAGTAAAATTATATTTACTATTTATACAATATATACAAATATATATTTCGAAAAATCAAAATATATATATTTATATATATACTACGGGTAGAAATAAAATAAATAAATTTAAAATTCATTTTCAATGATTTATTTAAGTCCAATACTTATTCCAAGACTAAATAAAATCATTTTACCAATTTTTGAATTTTAATAATTACCAAGTTAAAACTTTGACTTTTAAAATTTTAAAAGTCAAACGTAAAACTATAGTTTTGTACGTTGGCTCTGATACCACTGAAAGGTAACCATGCAAGGATAGGGAGCGGAATATAAAAATTTTAATATCCTAACATGATTATCTCTCCCAGAATCACGTACTAAAACTTATAGTGAGTAAGAAATTTATACCTTTTTCCGTAAGCGGTAAAAACGAAGAAGTCGTAGGAAGAGCGTTGAAACTGCAAACGTAACCGTTCAAGCGTCCGGTCTCCAACTTTGACACACGAACAACGCCAGAGTCTACCACAATCTTTATGCTAGTAAAGATTATAGTACTATAAAATATAAAGATTAAAA